CTGTATCTCTGAAATTATATCAAAACTGAAAAACAGATTTAAAAAAACATGACTCTCAAGTTCTCTACATTTCCTCTGCCTCAGTGGAGACATTTCCTCTGCTTCAGTGAGCTGTAGTTATTTTCCTTCTCTTTTGAAACTATTGATTTTTCTCATGGATTCAGTCGTTATTGCTTATCCTTATCAATGTAAGTCTATTTAAGCAGTGCTCTCAGCTGATATAAATTTCTTCAGCACTCATGTAGGTATGGACACATGGCTCTTGGGCTGCTCATAGACCAATGGGTGACAAGCATACCAGGGCATGTCTTGTCTTTGGTGTAAGTGGGCCCGCACATAGGGTCTTCCCCCCAGGGAAACAGGAGCATGACTACAGGGTCTGCTGGTTTCTCTCTGGATCCCATCATGTTAGGGGTTCTCTTTGCCATAGACACTCGTATATATATACATACATAGTCACAGTAGTGAGCATATGACTAAGTCCAATGCAAGTTTTGGTTTAAAAAAAAATCTATCATGAGAATTCATCAACATGGTCCCCACTGACTGGTTTGAAAAGTGAACAATGATCCAAGCCAGGTCAATCACAGTCCTTCCCTGGAAGTTTTTTGAAGGAGATCTAGGCTAGTAAATCTGTGAAGAGGTGAGCTTAGGGGATGCTAATGGTCAGGCTCTGATCATGTTGAGAAAAATTGGTAAGAGAAAAGGAGATGACATGTTGGGAGAGACAGAGAGAGTTCTGAGTACTTGGTTCAGGTAACAAAATTTCCTGGAGTGTCCTGGTTCTTGCTTTCCCTCAGCTGTTCAGTTCTTGGTATAATTCTATGAGCTACCTCAATAAATTCACTTTTTGCCCATGTTACTTCAAGTTGGAGTTCTTTTATTTTAGCCAAGAGTAGAGTAACCATGGGAACACACACACACACACACACACACACACACACACACACAAAGATATATGTATCTCTTTTTCATCTGCATCATCTCATGGAATTCCAATTTTTCAGTCTTGCCAATTTCCAGGACTTGGGCAATACTTTTCCTTCTACATTCACTGAATTACCTCAGTGGGGATAGCAAAAGGGGCAGAGTCAATTGTCATGTTAAGAGCACTACCTTGGAGATACACAAACAAATACACAAATCTGGATACATATTTTAGTGCTAATTTTCTTTCCTCCTTTCTTTGTGACTCAATTCTCATTGTCTTCTTTCTCTTTCTAAAATATAAACAAATTTCCCCTTAAACCTAAAATTGGGAGATAGTGAAGAAGCTCAGCTTTTATAGTAGGAATATAATAAGATTTCATTCTAAAACACGATGTAATCAGTCATTACTACCATGCAAATATTATCTTAGAAAAAAATGTTGAATGTGTAGTGACTTCAGCAATTAAGTTTTTGGTCTTGGACCAGTCATAAGTACCACATCAGAGCCTTGTACGATCTTGGCTGACATTCACATCCTGAGCTGAACTACTGAGCAATTCTTGCACTTTGATGCAAGTCAATTATTCACCCAATCTTTTCCATATACCCTTTGACTTTCATTTCAGAATTGCAAAAGGTATTCCATGATTTTGGAGGCTAGATATTCTCCTTTGCCCTTGCTGGCAAGCAAAAACTATACTATGAAGTGATAAAATTTGAATCACAACCTAAAGGATTATCTTTGTTCTTGATCAAAACAATTTTTCTTCCCAAAAACCTATGAGAGGCTAGGCACGGTGACCCACGCCTGTAATCCCAGCACTTTGGGAGGCCAGGGCGGGTGGATCACTTGAGGTCAGGAGATCAAGACCAGCCTGGCCAACACAATGAAAACCCATTTCTACTAAAAATACAAAAAAAAAAAAAATCAGGTGCACGTGGTGGTGCATGACTACAATCCCAGCTACTCAAGTGGCTCAGGCAGGAGAATAGCTTGAACCCAGGAGGCAGAGGCTGTAGTGAGCCAAGATCTCACCACTGCACTCCAGCCTGGGCAACAGAGTGACACTCTTTCAAAAAGAGAAAAAGAAAAAAGAAAAAAACCTATGAGAAAATACCACAATTAGGATAATCTCTTTTGATTATATATATGAGCAAATTTTATTGAAACAACTTCATTCATTGGATGTTCTTATAATTGGTAATAGCGTCTTCTTTTTAAAGGGTAAAATACACACAGCTGATGAAATTGTGGTGAAGTTTAGCCTTTGGGATTAGCTTTACCACCTTTAAATACACATCCCTTTCTGACAATATCTACACACTTCTGCTTTTCCTATAAATAGTCATTGACTAAAAGAATCTTTCCATTGACTTGCTGTCTCTAGATAGTTGCTGTAAGTCTAAAGAAAACTTGAAGTGTACCCATACCAAATCTATCTGAGAGGATTACTCTAACACACTGTAAAACTTACATTGGGAGGAAGAAGGCAGGCAGCCTGGGTTTCTCTGCCTTTCCCTTACATCCTAACAATGGCCCCCACTCCTGCACCTCAGTGCTTGCACTCACCTCCAGATTTTGCATGAGACTTTTTTCTTACTTACAACTCCCTATATTCTTTAGAACTACCACTTCAAGCCCATTCCAATTAATTTCTGAACTCTGAAATTTCACCTCTGTAAGAAAGCAAAAAGAAGTCTTTCCTAATTAACCTCATTTGGTTCTGATTTCCCACTTAGCAGCCTTTCAGAGATCTCCAACATGTTACATCTTTGGATGCATCACCTGGTCTTTCACTAACTTGTTCTCTGTGCCTTTGGTACAACCCCCGGTTGGCTGCAAACTTCTCTGATGCATCTGCCAGCCCTTTGGTAGTAATAATACTAATACTAAAAAGCTAACATGCCGGTCTTATTATGCTCCAGACACAATGCTAAGTAATTTACTGGCAGAGTATTTGGATACTGTCTGGCATATAGTAAGCCATTAATACAGGTTTGTTATTATTACCATTTATAGCCCAATTAACTTAGTATTACTATTCTCTCCATTTCAGGATAAGAAAACTGTGAGGCACAGAGAATTACATAAATTGCTCAGAGTCACAGAGCTCATTACGTGGCAGAAACAAACCTTGGTGCCCATCTATTTGACACCAATACCCATCAATGTTCTTAATCATTACAAAAAAAATGCTAAACACACACACACACGCACACACACACACTAATCAATCCTTTTTGCAATAATACCCCTGTCGTTTTCAGAGCAGTGTAAGTTGTACTCAAGGCAGGTTTTACTTAGGAATTCACTCCCCTTTTAAAATTTAACTGTCTTAGAGACATAAGGAAAAAGTCACAAATATTTGTATCTCCCCGGAGATTTTCATTTTGAAATTTAGAGGCCACTGAAATATGTGTCCTTAGGGAGAACAATGGGTTTTTCAAAACTTCTAAGTTGCTAAGGAGCTGTGTTTTGTTTTTTAACTATGAATATGCTACTTCAGTCAGTCACCAGGACATCATATTTGCTTTGGTCGAAAGAGCTAGGCCATGTCCAGGCCTGAGCAATAGAAAAAGTTTATGAGTATATTGCTAATATAAATGATTAATAATACATTACAGGCTCAACCCTGATCATGCCATGCATCTTCTTACAGTTATTTTGAGTACATTTTCATCTGATGCTCACAATTGCTCTCTACTGTAACAGCTTTTCTCCTGGTCATGCTGTGAGATTATACAGGGAGAAAAGCGCACTTCTGATGTTGTCTTTCCTGAGTTCTAAAGAAGGCTTTGCCTTTCCTCCCATCTCCTTTCCTTTTTCTCTTCCTTCTTCCTCTCATAGGCTGCCCTGTCCTTTTCTTCCTTAGCTGTCTGAGCTTTCTTGAAGGGAACCAAGGGTCGTAGATTCCCCAGGCCTGGGCCCTTCTGGAAAGCTCCAGGTTCTCTGGAGAGCAGTCAGGTGACAGAATCAACCCAACCAGGCCCAGTGACATAACTTCCCACTTAGGCAGCTGCACAGCACCCAGATCCCATCCCTGGAAGCTTCAAAACCCTGGGCTCCGCCACAACCAGGCACAACTGCCTCCCTCCAGGTTTCCACTTGGGTGAATGAATGGGCTTGAAGGCAACTCCAGATGCAGGAGGCGCGTTGCGGAGAAACGGAGAAACGTGTCATTTACGAGAAAGTTTGTTTCCTACAGAGGCTGCAGTTGGCAGCTGCACTCCCAGTCGGTTGCGAGAAAAGCTCCCCACCTGGGGAAGCGAGGCAGCTCCCGTGTGAGCTTGGCAGGGAGGACGCGGTGGCGGCAGGACTCGAACTCAGTCGTCGAAGGGCGCCCCGCAGGGTCCCGTCTGTAGCCCGGACGGCGTGCCCAGGTTGGAGTGGGAGGGAGCCGACGTGCACAGCTGTCTTTGGTCGGGCTCAGGCTTCCGCTCCCTGCCTGCTCCCCTTTCCAGCCTCCCGCCCCAGAAATGATCTCAAGCGTTGCCAGTCTGATTCCAGAGCCCCACTCGGGTGGGTTCTTTTGTTTCTTTGTTTTAATGACAGTTCCCAGCCCTTCGGCATGTCATGCGCAATTAATTCCCTGGCTCTCACGAAGGCAGCTGGGGTGAAATTTCTTCTGCATCATCCTTTTGGGGATAATTGTTTATGATGTGACGTCAGTCGGATTGATTTTTCTCTCTTGAATGAAGGGTGGGAGGGGAGAAAGAGAGACGGAGAGAGAGAGGCGCACAGATGTGCACGGAGGCCACCGACACTGACATTTGGAATTCCTTCAGGGTAAAAGGACACCGGAATGGGAGCTTAAAAGTGTATTGCTAAGACTTCAGGCTGCACGGAATTGTTAAGTTTTTCTTAAAAAAAAAAGAAAGAAAGAAAGAAAAAGAAAAGAACCCCCTCCGCAGCAAGCCACTTAGGTGCTCCTTTCACGCCAGAGTCCCCTGTTAAGGTGGCAGCCCTTGGAATTAATCTCGGGCACCCAGCCGCTGCTGTAAGCTTAAGGAGACGACGAGGAGGGGCGGGGGAAGTGCGTCACCAGGTGGGGAAGGGGCTGTGTATTTGGTGACAAACGGGAGGCGATGGGGGTGGAGGGGAATGGGGACGGGAAATAGGTTCTGTGTGCTCTCCGGGGGTATTGTGTCAGAAGATGCAGGCTGGCTACCATGTGACGCGGTCCAAAGCTGAAGGGATTGGCCGAGGCAGCGCAGGCGGTGCAGCTCGGCCGGCTTGCCGTTCCTCTCCCTTTCTCTCAGCATCTTCCTGGTAGCCTGCCTGTAGGTGAAGCAGCACCAGCAGCATCCATGGCCTGTCTTTTGGGTTAACACTTATCTCCTTTGGCTTCGGCAGCGGACGCAATAGACCTCAGCAGCCGCGTGGTGAGGACTTAGCTGGGACCTGGAATCGTATCCTCCTGTGTTTTTTCAGACTCCTTGGAAATTAAGGAATGCAATTCTGCCACCATGATGGAAGGTAGGATGCTTTCGGCTGTGGTTGACTGGCTTCAAGCAAGGTTTGGGCGGAACAGCGTTAAAGAATATGTGCAGCCAGTGTATGTGGCGGTTCTAGAACCTGGTTGCCAAGGTTTTGCAAGCAGAAATGCTGCAGTTTGCTTGCAGTGGATCTGGGCTCAGACTAATGGAATCAAACCACAGGGCTTCTGCCTAGCTCAGAACCTACAGAGCTCCCAGCTCCTTTGAGAAAGAAAAGCCTAAAGTGTTTGCAGGGAGCTGAGATGGAGCTAGGAAAGAGCTTGCAAGCAAATAAGTTGGGCAAGAAGATAAGGTTTTCTGTTCTGGGTTCCTGGGACTACACTGATTAAACATTTACAATGGAAACTTGTTTTCTGAAATTGACATTAGACAGGAGAGGTCATGAACAGAGTTATCCATACAGACATTTTCAGTGAACTGCTTAAAAATTATAAAAATTCTTACAAGGTATTTTTATCTCTGCAGTTTACATCATATTATTGGGATAGGAGGGCAGCAAATTTGGTCCATAAACTGTAGTTGTATGAGAATGTAATTGCAACAGAATGAAAAATATAAGGAAAATACCCGGGCCTCTTGCCTCCTGATTCGGGGTCTTATTAGGTTAAAAAAGAATTTTATGCTCCCTAAATGCTTTCCCTGTCCAGTGGTTTTTAGCCAAGCATCAAATGATTATTTGCTGATGATCTTTTTGTATATTCAATATTGAGTGTAAGGAGGAACTTTCCCTGGGGAGATGCTATTTAAACTATATTTTATTCTACTAAATTACCCTTCCCAACCTGAAACTGTGACAGCCAAGATTGTCTCAAAAAAGCAGCAAGCTGATCAGGAAAGAAGCAAGCAGCTCTATGCAGGCTTTGATTTTCTGTTTTCACACTATAGGATGGTGCAAAACTCCTGGCCTTTCCTAAGATGACAGGCAGAAATTTGTCCCCAGCCTGGATTTCACAATGCAGAATTGAGTGCATAATGGGTCTCAAATCAGCCATGAAAATGGCAGAGAGGCCACTTCTTAAGCCAAGGTTTGTCCTACAGATTTTAACTATTGCTTAGAAATTTACCAAAATGGAATAAGAAGAGGATGGTTTCTTAAAAACAGCAGTGTAGCCTGTACTTATTTGGCAGAAATGAATTCTTTTTGCTCTCCCTGTCATCATGTCAAACATTGTCAATGTGATTTGGGGGAGTGAAGAATTCTAGAGTCAAAACCCACAGATTTTAGAAGATAGCCTTAAAAGAGAGGTTGGGTATGATTTTGTCATGGAGCTGAGTCTTGTTTGCAAAAGGTTCTCAAGCTAGTCCTTCAAATCCAGGCCTAAATAAATTGAGATTGCTAACACTCTCAGATTAAGTCATTTTCATTAAATCAAAATGGATTTAATCTTTGAATAGCAAGGCAAGACAAACAGAAAGAGTATTATTTATGCACTTTTCAATTAAAAATTCATGTGGATTATCTTCTTCAGAAAAAAATCTTGCCTGTAGAGGTACTGTATTTCTCCAGCTCAATTTCATATAGCATTTCTTAAAAATGCATCTGCACACATTCTGATTAGATTTCGGTCTTGCATAGAGAATTGGATGCTCTTTCTTTTACTTCTTGCCTTGCAAACCATGGCACTAAAGTATCTTCTTTGAAGGTTGTAACGTTTTTTGATGCTCATTAATGATTCTCCCGGTAATATGGTCTATTGTGCCATCCAAGAATGCCAGTTCAAAGCCCTGTGATAAGCTTATCCAGGCTGCCTAAACTAAAATGAGAACTGCAACAAAGACTTGTTCTGGAGCTGAATTAACACTATTGCTCTGGATTTGCCAAATTTATCTAATGAAGGATGTTATCTTAGCACTGGTATGAATTAGAGGTTATACTATGGATACAGTTGTCTTTCACCAGATCTTTTGCAAGAGAAATTGGACAGGTGTTCCCACTGGCTTAAATAGCTAAATGAAATTAACATTCATTTCTACCCATAGTTCCTACTTAAATATTTTTAAGCCTTATTATCTTAATAGTTCAGTGACCTTAGAAAGGCAAATAGGAGCTTAACCAAAAATCAATTTTCTATCAGTTGCCTTCCAACTTAGTTGACAGTCTTTTTGGCAATATACATTCATGTTTCCAGTATTGCATGGCAGAATTTCACCTCTGAATTGCTCTTATTCTGAAGGTGTGGTATGTAATTATTATTTCCACTTAACTCATCTCTAGAGATTGCCAGGCTCTGTACATCTACCACAATAACGTTGGAAAGATAAGGAACCTCATCAAAGGCACCCCGAAATTGCCATTGCAGCTCTTTGTTGAAACATCAGTAGACTCTGAGAATGTGCCACCAAACATCTAGTTAAAATCGTATTTCTTCTCAAGTAGTGTGTCTCACACACACACATAAAGTCATCCACACAAACACATTTCTGGAAAGGAAGAAAACATATATTTGCACTCAGGAGTACGTACATTTCCATATTGCTAAAGCGTTTTAGTCTGCTACTCAGAAAAAGCATGGCCATGGCAACTTTTCAAAGGCACTTCTCTACTTTGTGTAAAGCAAGAGTAAACAAATATTCAGCAGAATGGGTCATAGTAAACTACGTTTTGTTTGTGTGGAACAGGATATAGGCTCCTTTCATTCAATGTCTATTGGAAATCCATCTTATCATAGATGATAAATGTTACTACCTCCTCAGTGATCCTAATATCATGGAAGTCAACGAAATAATTCCCCAGGGACCACAAGCAGGTGATTAGTAGTTTGTGGCTCCATGGTTCATTTAACATATTTTAATTAAAAAACATATTTTTGAGGGACTTGATTTGTTGCTTCCTGCATACTTATCTTTTGACAGTGGTTGGCATTGAGTTGTTTCCTTTCTAAAGAAAGCCACATGATCTGGAGCCTTCTGAAGTATAAATATGAAGGGAAAGATGATGAGCAAAGGGAATTATTAACTAAGGAGTGTACATACTGGCTAAACTTGCAGTGAAGTCTATGTGGTTAGGGCAACTATTCAAGGACTATTTTTTTGATATATTATTATTAAAGTTTGAAAATGGCATTCTTAACTATCCTTTCTAAGACAACTGGAACTAAGTCAGGGTTTCTTGGGCTATCTGTCTATTTGTGAGGATGTCTAGAAAGTACTTTCCTTGTTCACGTAGGCCTGACTGAAGGTGTTTTGCATTTTTAGTTCCATATTCAGGCTCTTAGGTGCTATACTAGAAAGATAAGTTTCTAGGTGCCAATGGTTTCATTTTATATGATAATTTAAAAAATTAACAAGCATATATTTTGAAGAGATTACTGTGTTTAATTATAATATTCAGGGTAATATATTTTATTATATTTATTTTATATGTTTTATATTTTTTAATATATATA